CAAGCCCCCAAAGTGCTGGGGGATTACAGGTGCAGGCCACCCATGACCCGGCCTAGTTTTGGCTATTTTGTGAAGGACCAGGTCCATCCGAGGGCACCTGGAACCTCTGGATGGAGAGAACGACCTCAGATTCTGAACCTGCTGAACTCCACCCTGCTGCCTGGCTGTGCCAACAGTTTCCTTTTTTCCAGCAAATGGAAAAAATGGCAGAACTCCAACCCCCTGGGGTTCCTTGTGAGCTTTAAGCCAAGCATGGGGACACGGTGGCTTTGGCCTCCTGGGACAAGCTCAGTACTCATAATTCTTTTTTTTGTTTTTTGAGACACAGAGTCTCCGCTCTGTCCCCCTGGCTGGAGTGCAGTGGCCGGCGGGAATCTCAGCTCACTGCCAAGCTCCGCCCTTCCGGGTTCCGGCATTCTTCTGCCTCAGCTCCCCCGATGTAGTGGGAAACTAACAGCCCCAGCCGCGCCTGGCTAAGTCATTTTTTGTATGTTTTGAGTAGAGACGGGGTTTCCACCGTGGACTCGATCATCCTGAACCTTGTGATCCGCCCACCTCGGCCTCCCCAAAGTGGTGAAGATTACCGGCGTGGGAGCCACCGCGGCCCGGCACCCTGTGTACCTCATATTCTTAATCACTGCCCATGCAAATCGTGGAGGAAGCTACTGGAAAGCCCGTGAGATTCTGCGCCACGTGGAAGCTCAACTGTGACACCCTCCACAGCAGGGTCCTTCCAGCCTCTGGAACACAAAACGCCTGAGTGGGAAACCCCCAGGGGACCCTCAGCATGGACCACTGAGGCGGGAAGTTGAGAACTGTGAGGAGTGCTGGGCAGTGGCCAACTTCCTGCCTCTGCCAGGGCAGCACACCAATTTCATTTGTGTGTCCACCCTACTTGTTCTCAGGGAGAAGTGGCTCCTTTCCTGGGGTGACTTCTAGGCTGGGGCATTTAATTGCTAGTGTGAGACCTTCCGGGGTCTTCCTCTCTTGGCCATAGTGACGTTCAAGATGGCAGGGGAGGTGAGCAGCGCCCCCTAGGGCCTGAGAAGCTCCCGGAGCAAGAACAAGGAATAAACCTTTCCTGGTTTGCAGGTGTGTTTACAATGTTTTTTTGTTTTGCTTTGTTTTTGTTTGTTTATTTAAAATTTTTTATTCACCTATTTATTTTTACTTTTTTTTTTTTTTTTTTGAGACGGAGTCTTGCTCTGTCGCCCAGGCTGGAGTGCAGTGGCCCGATCTCGGCTCACTGCAAGCGCCGCCTCCCGGGTTCACACCATTCTCCTGCCTCAGCCTCCCGAGTAGCTGGGACTGCAGGCGCCCGCCATCGCACCTGGCTAATTTTTTTGTGTGGTTTTAGTAGAGACGGGGTTTCACCATGTTGCCCAGACTGGAGATAGAGTCTTGCTCTGTTCCCCAGGCTGAGTGCAGGGCGCGATCTCGGCTCACTGCAAGCTCCGCCTCCCGGGATCATGCCATTCTCCCTGCCTCAGCCTCCTGAGTAGCTGGGACTACAGATGCCCACCACTGCGCCCGGCTATTTTTTTGGTCTTTTTAGTAGAGACGGGGTTTCACCGTGGGTCTCGATCTCCTGACCTTGTGATCGCCACCCAGCCTCCCGAAATGCTGGGATTACAGGCGTGAGCCACCGCACCCGGCTAGAAATTTTTTTTAATTAAAAAAATTTGGTCAGGCATGGTGTCCACACCTGTAATCCCAGCACTTCGAGAGGCCAGAGGCTGGGCAGATCACGAGGGTCAGGAGATTGAGGACCATCCTGGCTAACACGGTAACCCCATCTCTACTAAAAATGCAAAAAATTAGCCGTGTGGTGGTCGGACACTTGTAGTCCCAGCTACTAGGAAGGGCTGAGACGGGAGAATGGTGTGAACCTGGGAGGCAGAGCTTGCAGTGAGCCAAGATCGCGCCACTGATCACCAGCCTGGGGAAACAGAGCAAGACTGTGTCTCAGAAAAAGAAAAAAAAAAAAGAAAAAGAAAAAATTAAAAATTTTTTATTAGGGGGATTGGGGTGGGCACCTGTGGTCCCAGCTACTTGGGAGGGCTGAGCGCAAGAGGATCACTTGAACCCGGAGGTCAAGGCTGCAGTGAGCTGTGACCACACCATTGACACTCCAGCCTGGGTCACAGAGACGACAGTGTCTCAAAAAA